CTAAATAGTAACATATATATAATTAGATATATATAAAAATATGAAAATACTTTAAAAGCTTGTAAAGTTCCCCCTAGATATATTACAAAAAACTCATTTAATCTCAATATGTATTCAAATTTAAATATTCAATATGCCCATTTATTTCTACTCTTTTTGCCTTCATATTTCATATTTGAGACAATACAATTATAATCACCATTTTAAAGGGACTCAAGCATAGCTAATCTTGCATGGAAAAAAGCAACACAGTTTTATAAATCATTTTATATGTCTTGCGTGTGTGTTCCAATTCTCTTACACGTGTCTATCAGATGCTTACCTGGTGACAATAATAGCATTTTTTTCAGTCTGATATCTATTAAAGATTTATTTTAATAGTACTTGGTTGGAATCAGAAAACTTTGATAAGAATGACCCAGAAAAAAATTGGAATAGTTGACACAGGCATGCAAAGAGTTAGGGAGAAGGGATGAATGTAGCGACAGAAAATGATAGAAAGGAAATGGCTACAATATAACAAGAAGCATTTGCAAAAGGCCAGTAAAGTCACAGAATCGGGAGCATTGGTTAATTGACAAGATTAGAGGGTTACAGTCCTTAAAAAAAAAAAAAAAACAGCAGGAAGCTGGCACCAGGTTGATCTAATGGAGGTGGAACTGTACCTTGAAATAAGGTCCAAGGATTTTTCATTTCATGAGGGGCCAATGTGAGCTGAGTAGGTCAGATGATCAACTAGATAGAACTAGGGAGGTAGAATTAGAGGGTTGGGTCTCAGCCCTGACTGCTCATCACAACTACCTGCAGAGCATTAAAACACATCACAGGCTAGGTCCCACCGACCAATTAAACCAGAATCTGTGGATGGGCTGAAGCATTTGTTGGCAGATTTGAATACGCGCCAGGTGATTCTTCCATGCAGACAAACAAGAGAACTATGGGTTAGAGCAGTTTGTTAGCATCCAGAGAAGGTATACTATAATATAGTATAGCTGTACTCTAATCTTAGTCCCCTGCCCCACACCCCACCAGGTCTCTTTATCTGAAAATCGGAACATTTGAGGGAAAGAGCTAAGTGAAAGTAGTTTTGAAAATCTCTGTCTTCCAATGCGCAACTAAGCTAAGGAACTCCTGGACTAGAAGATCGTTTCCTGTGCTGTGTTAAAATCATGCTTTACACCCTGAAGTTTAAGGCTACAGAAAGGAATCCAGATGAACACAGTTAGAATACCAGAATCTTGAAAACTGCAGGCGACCTTAGAGAAAGCCTAGGCCTACTTTCACATAGGAGAAGCAGCATAGATAATTGCTCCTCATCACTCGGGGAGTTAATAACAATCCTCTGACAAATTGTTTTCAATTTTTTTCCTACTCTAGAATGCTGGCTCTTAGTTAAATCAAAACTCTTAGTTTTAAAATGGAAAACACTAGAAGAGACATAATCTAATTTATAAAATGTCCCAAACACATGGACTTGGTCAATGAGATCTAGTCTACAATACTCTACAACACCATATGTAAAAGAGACCCTCAAGGCATAGAAAAATTTAACTGAAAGCAAATAAATTGAACTATGAAAAAAAAATCTAATACTAAACATGGCATTTCAGTTAACAATCATAAGACTTCTTCAACCAAAAAAGAGGCAACTCTTTGTTTAAGAGGGGTAGAGTTTGGTGATCTTTAGGTTTGGGAAAATGTGTGATTCCCAAGGTCATATGCTAAACTTCGAAAGGAAATTTTGCATTCAGTACTTAACCTTAAGCATGTGACTTTCATGTGTTTTTTGATTCCCTGAGTTGGTTAGTCAAATACCTGAACTAACCCAAAATAGAAGAATTCAAAACAAAATCAGTTCCCTTTGTTGGACAAAATTTACATGTGATTAATTCTGTTTGTTGTACACATCTCTTTGTGTTTCCTTGTACTTTAGTTTCAGAATACAATTTTATAAAAAAAAAAAAAAGTAATGAGCATAGAGCCCACTGACTCTGGGTGATATACTTTCAGAGACAGGTTATTAGCTGCTAATGTCAATGTTCTGTTTGGCTGTTTCCAGGTTCTTGTCTTTTCCAGTGGCTATGGTGAACATATGCTGATGAAGCCTAAAAGCAAGCTGGAGGAAAGAAAGCAAGTATGTGAGATCTTAGAACTGGGATTCAGAAGACTCTATTGACTGAAACGAAGAGCCACCAGGAGAACTTAGAAGTCCATGTAGCTGGACACAATATTCTAAGTACAGGGGCAAAACACTTGCCTCCCAGCATTTAAAGGGCCATTATTGGAAAAGTTTCTACATCCAAGGTCCATAGGCCATTTCACAGGCTTTAGGGTGTCTGCAATTCCCTGAATTATTTACAAAACCTTCTATGCTAGTCTACATTTTTTTTCTGGAGACAGGAGCTCCATCACTTTTATTGAGTGCTCAGAATAAGGAAAACCCAGATGATATTTAAGAGTTACAACTAAGGAAAATAAAGGCAAACTGCAGTTAGTTTTAATCTCCATGTGAGGAAGAAATTTGTCACATTTAAAACTATCTGAAGATGAAATGAGCTGTCCTGAGAGGTTTCAAATTTTGAAGCCATTTGTCCAGAATATTAGAGAAAAAAAATTCAAGTAATGAATGAGTGGTTGGTTAAAAGGTACTTAAAAGTTAAAAAGTGGTTAAAAGTTTCTAAAAGACAGATGCCTATACCTGAGTGAATACATGAACATAACTAATATGAATACTGGTGGGGTTAGGAAGTTTTGCAGCAATGAAGCCTTGTTTGGCCAACGGAGGGCCTATTAGTAGTTTTGTTCTGCTTCTGAACCTGGAAGAGTACTTACTTCACAAGTAGGTTATTTATGGCATTTAATAGCACCAAACTGTTAACACAGGGAAGTTAGTAAAGGAAAATAGGTGAGTTTCTAGTGGTTAAGACACTAGTCTTAACTGGAATGGATTTCAGCTGAACTGGCTCCTTGTGGTGGCACACATCTGCAATTCCAGCACTTACAAGGCTATTTGAAGCCAATCAAAACTACATAGAGAGATCCCATCTTGGAAAAAAACGATTATAAGCTGAACTACTAGGCTGATTGAATTTCACTTCCATCTCCTTATTACTAGCCACGTATGACCTTGAAGCGATTAGACAGCTGCTCTGTACTTCATGTCCTTATATGTAAAAAGAGTATGACAATAGTACCTACAGTGCAGGTCAATAGAAAGTTAAACATAAAAAATCATTGAGAATCAAAAACTGTCTTTTTAATTAAATTTTTGTGATTTTTATACAACATAGTTTGAAGAGTACTTACTTCACAAGTAGGTTATTTATGGCATTTAATAGCACCAAACTGTTAACAGATTTAGATCCCCTTCCCTGTCCCCACCTCCCCCAACTAACCCTTGCCCAATTTAATATACTCCCATATATATAACACCCAGTGTCTGTTCCTGAAGAACTGAAATCAGGCTAGGAGACCCTTGACTTGTACCTATAATCTTTTATTTTCCTTTAGAGTGTTTTTGGTAAGATGGGGTATCTGTATGTAGTTGCAGCTCAAGAGTGCCTGACTGCCTCTTGGTGGTCTTTTTATTAGGAAACTCAACCTATAAAATCCATACAAAGCTCATACATGATTAATGCTTAAGTAATAGAAAACACATAGGAACTTTTCCTTCATAAGAAAAAAAGTACATTTTACCCAAGGCCATGGTGACCAGCCCAGTGACAGACCTTCTTTGATGCATACAAAGACAGGGGAGGGGCATGACAACCTATTTCCAACTTTCCAGAAAACAGATGTCTTATAGGTCTTCCCTCAGCACCCTCAGAGCAGACTCACTCCACCTGAAGCCTCTGCATCAACAAAGTCCAAAGAAGTCTGTTAACTCTTGGTGAACCAAGTGTCAGGAGCCTGTTAACTATTAGTGAGCAGAGTGCTATTGTCCTTAAGGGACAAGGGGGCAGGTGTAGCCATATAACACAGCCTATAGTGTCTGATTTGTGTCCTAAATGTCCTTCAGTGTGGGCCCATACACTGGACTCACCAAGAATCCTAACCCTGTAAGATGCTGCCTTTCCCCCTCTCAGTAGCCATCAACTGCCAAAAGTTCTTTAGTTAGGTTGGGATTTCTCACTCACTTCCCCATGTCTATGCTAGGATTTTGTCTGGTTTGAACTTGCATAGGACTTGTGTGTGCTGTCACCATTGCTGTGAGTTCATATGAGTATCTGACTAGATGCCTCGAGACTCTGTGCCTTATGGTTATCCACTCCCTCTCACTCTTACACTGTTTTCACAATGATCCCTAACCCTTGGGAGGCAAAGGTTTGAAATAGGTGTTCTATTCAGGGATAAGCACTCTGTGACCTCTTGTTCTCTGCACATTGGCTAATTGTGGGTTTCTGTGTTAGTCACCATCTACTGCATAAGGAAAATTTTTGGTGAGAATTGAGAGATGGATTCATCCTATGTGTAGAGGTTGCATTGAAGATGTGTCACTTAGGGTTAAGCACCTCACAGACACTTATTCCCTGCATTTGACCAGTTCTGGAATTCTGTAATAGTCTCCATCTGTTACAAAAAGAAGCTTCTTTGATGAGGGGTGAAAGGTAGTACACTTCTCTGTAAATATGAGGATGCATATTTAGAATAAAATAAGAAATTACATTGGTCTAGGGATATGACAGAAGTGGATTTTCCTCTAAGATATATGACCTCTCCAGTCATGTGCATTTAGCTATGATTACAGTACCACACATGAGTTCCTTTTCTTAGAATAGGTCTTAATTCCAACTAGGTAGCTATTGATTACTCCCAACATAAAAGTGCCACTAGTTCAAAAATAGCAATAGTTTACTGGGCCAGTCTTTTTTTTAATATTACGTTTCACAGCTGGGTAGGACCATTGGTTGGTTTTCCTCCCTTGTCAGCTTACATAGTATCCTCTGATACCATGAGAGCTAGTCTTCAGGGAGGAGGCTTCTAGATCATTTCTAGTTCTATTGCTCCAAGTCCTGTGTCCTAAGTATGGCCTGTCTTCAGCAATAGGGTCTTACCTTCAAGCTCTTTAGGCAATCAAGGGTTGTGACAATAGTCTATGCTATTTGGGGAGTCTCTTAGACTACCCTGACCGACAACTAGAAGGGAGGTTTCTCCTGCCTGCCGCTGTGTTTTTTGTTATATAGTCTTCAGCTATACACATGCACTAGTATATCTATTGTATATGTATTTTTCAGTAGGACTTTGAACTGATACATTTCCCTCTCGTTTTTCATACCATCTAAACATTATCTCCCTCTCAGCCCTCTGAATAACCTTTCCTACTCTCTTCCCTCATTTCCTTTTTAATAACACCTGTCTCCTACTATCCCCCTCTCCTGGACTCCTTCCCCTTTATGCCTATGGTTTCCTTCTTTTTCCTAGCTCCTGCAGTTACATCAGGATATATACTTACATCTAAGGATTCGGAGCTAAGATCCAGAAATAAGATGGAACATACATCATATGTTTTTCTGAGTCTGTGTTACTTTACTTAGTATAACAGTTTCTGGTCTATCCATTTACCTGCAAATTTCATGATTTCAGTTTTCTTTACCACTGAGTATCTTTTATTTACCACTGAATGCAATTACTGTTGTATAAATGTACTACATTTTCATTATCTATTCATCAGTTGAGGGACATTTAGGTTGTTTCTATTTCTTAGCTATTGCGAAAAGAGCAGCAACAAACATTGTAGTAGGATGAGTCCTTGGGTATATGCCAAGGAATGGTATGACCATATCAAATGGTAGATCTATTTTTAGTTTTTAAAGAGTTCTCCATACTGATTTCCACAGTGGTTGTACCAGTTTGTAATCCAACCAACAATGGGTGAGGATTTCTATTTCCCCACATCCACACCAGCATTTGGCGTCATTTGTTCTCTTGATCTTAGCCATTCTAACTGAAGTTAGATGAAATTTAAAATAGTTTTGATTCACATTTCCCTAATTACTAAGGATGTTGAATACTTTTTAAGGTGTTTCTTAGCCATTTTAATTTCTTCTTTTCAGAGCTCTCAGTTCAGATCCATAGCCCAGTTTTTAATTGGGTCATTTGTTTTTTTGCTTTTTTGTTATATATTCTGGATATTAATCCTCTGTCAGATAGATATCTGGTGAAAAATTTCCCCAGCTCTGTAGGCTTCCTAATTAGTTTATTCCTTTGTTGTACAGAAGATTTTTAGTTTAATAAGTTCCCATTTGTTGATTGTTGACCTTAATTCCTGAGCAACTGATGCCTGATTTAGAAAGTCCTTACCTGCACCTGTATATCTTGTATGGTACTACCTATGTAGTCTTCTAACAATTTCAGCATTTTAGGCTTCACATTGAAATCTTTGATCAACTTGGGCTTGGCTTTCATGTAGGGTGATAGGTATGGGTCTAATTTCATTCTTCAACATGTGGATATTTGATTTTGCCAGCACCATTTGTTGAAGATGTGGTCTTTCCTCCAGTGTGTATTCTTGACACATTTGCCAAATATCAGATAGTTATAATTATATGCGCTCATGTTTGGGTCTTCTATTTTGTTCCATTGATCTACAAGTCTATTTTTGTGCCAATACCATGTTGTTTTTATGACTATGGCTTTGTAATATAGATTGAGGTCTGGTATGGTAACCTTCTAGGCATTGCTCCTTGTGCTCAGGATAGCTTTGACTATTCGGGGTCTTTTGCATTTCTACATGAATTTTAGGATAGGTTTCTTTCCTTCTAATTCTATGAAGAATGTCATGGGAATTTTGATTGAGATTGTAATGAATCTGTAAATGGCTTTTGGTAGGCCATTTTCACTATTTTGATTCTACCAATCAATGAGCATGAGAGGTCTTTCCATCTTCTTGTGTCTTCCTCAATCTCTTCAAAGACTTAAAGTTTTCATTTAATAGGTCTTTAATATCTTTGGTTAGGTTTATCCCTAGATTCTTTGGATGCTATTGTGAATGTTTCCCTGAACTCTTTTTCTGATTGATTTTTATTTGTGTTTAGAAAGGCTAATGATTTTTGTAGACTGATTTTGTAACCTGCCACTTGCTGAAAGTGTTAATCATTTCTAGAAGTTTTCTGGTGGAATTTTTGGCATCTCATG